CAGCAGTGGTGTTCCTGTAGTGACAACGACCGTGGTATGTACAGTACTGTGATGTTCCTGTAGTGACAACGACGTGAAATTGTACAGTACTGGTGTTACTGTAATTAGCAGCGACGTGTGTACAGTACTGGTGTTCCTGTAGTGACAACGACGATGTATGTGCACGTGGGGTTTCCTGCAGCGACAACGACGTATGTACAGTGGTGGTTTTCCTTTAGTGATAACGACGACGTGGGTACAGTAAGTGGTGTTACTGTAGTGACAACGACATGTGTGTATAGTGGTGGTGTTCCTGTATTGACAACGACGTGTGTATGAGTGGTGGTGTTCCTGTATTGACAACGACGTGTGTACGGTAGTGGTGTTCCTGTAAGTGACAACGACGATGTGTGTACAGTAAGTGGTGTTCCTGTAGTGACAACGACGTGGGTACAGTACTGGTGTTACTGTAGTGGCAACGACGTGTGTGTAGTACTGGTGTACGTGTTTCAATGGTGTTCCTGTGGTGACAACGTAACATTTGTACACAGTGAGGGTTTTCCTGTAGTGACAACGACGTTATGTACAGTAGTGGTTTCCTGTAGTGACAACGACGTGTGTACAGTAGCATTGGTGTTACTGTAGTGACAACGACGTGTGTACAGTAGTGGTGTTCCTGTATGACAACGACATTATTGACGGCGACGTGGTACGGTTGTGACGTAGTATTGGTGTTACCTGTAGTGGCAACGACGTGGGTACAGTAGTGGTGTTCCTGTAGTATTGACAACGACGTATTGTACAGTGGTGGTGTTCCTGTAGTGACAACGACGTGGAGTGAGTAGTAGTGGTGTTTCCTGTGGCGACATTGTACGACGTTTGTGACAACGATAGTGTAAATGTTCCTGTAGTGACAACGACGTGGGTACGTAGTACAAGTGTTTCTGTAGTGACAACGACGTGGGTACACCAGTACTGGTGTTCCTGACTAATTAGCAACGACGTGGGTACAATACACTGGTGTTCCTGTAGTGATCAACGACCGTGTACACAGTTGGGGTTTTCCTAGTGACAACGACGTAGATACAGTAGTAGTATTTCTGCAGTGAGAACGACGTGGGTACAGTAGTGGTGTTACTGTAGTGACAACGACGTGGGTACAGTGGTGGTGTTCCTGTAGTATTGACGACGAGCGGTAATGTAGTTGCGTTCACGTAGTGATAAGTTACGTAAGGTGATTGGCGGTGTTCGCATTGTGTACAAAGAGTGAAAGTGTTACTCTGTAGTGGTGTTCCTGTAGTGGCGTACGAAGTGGGTACGGTAGAGGTGTTCCTGTAGTGACAACGACGTGGGTAGTGTAGTGGGGTGTCCTGTAGTGACAAACGGCGTGGGTACAGTAGTGGTGTTCCTGTAGTGACCAACGACGTGGTATTACCAGTAGTGATTGTTCCTGTAGTGACAACGATGTGGGTACAGTAGTAGTGTTACCTGTAGTGATAACGACGTTAAATGGCCGCAATTACTGGTGTTCCTGTAGCCGGCGACGACGAATGTTGTTACGGTAGTAGTTTCCTGGTGGTGACTCGGCGGCATTAATGTGCGGTGCGGTGGATTTCCTTTAAGTGAGGACGACAGGCGTGGGTACAGTAGTGAGTGTTCGCTGTAGTGAGCAACGACGTGTGTATGAGTGGTGGTGTTCCTCGTATTGACAACGACGTGTGTATGGTACTGGTGTTTACTGTAGTGGCATCGACCGTGGTACAATGAGTGGTGTTCCATGGCCAGATAGTGACAACGGTAATGGTGTACGGTGGTGAGTGGTGTTCCTGTAGTGATAACGACAAATGAATGGTGGTGGTATTCCTGTAAGTGACTGTGACGTGACTGTGTAGCTTGACGGTGAAGTGTAATGTTCCTGTATGTAGTACTGACGTGGAGTACAGTAGTGAGTGGCACGTAGTGATAAAGACATGGGTACAGTAGTGGTGTTCCTGTAGTGACAACGACGATGGGTGAAGTGGTGGTGTTCCTGTAGTGACGGCGACGATGGAGTAAAGTCGCCAGTGGTGTTTTCTGGCATTGACAACCAACGTTTGTACAGCAGTGGTGTTCTTAATTGACAACGAGGCGTGTACAATTACTAAATTTCACCGCCAATTCGACAACGACGATTATTCTGCCGTACCTGGTATTACTATTAATGATAACGACGATAATACGGCGTCACTGCGGTATTCCTGTAATTGACAGCGACGTGCGCACAATTGGGGTTTCTCCTACAGCGACGGCTGATATTACATACGGTGAGTGGTTTTCTTTACTGGTAGAACAGCGATTGATTTTACGGTGAGTGGTGTTACTGTGGTGGGCGGCGACATGATGTGTAGTGGTGAAATGTTCCTGTACCGCCAGCCGTGCGAATAACGGCGTGTAGCCGAGTACTGGGTGCTGCTGCTGTAATTACGGCGGCGGGCGTGTAACGAAATGATGGAGGTGTTCCATAATTGACAACGACGTCGTAACGCAGTATTGGTTGTTTCCTGGCAGGCGACCGGCGACCGTTAACCAATACCAATTACTGAAGGTGTTACTGTAGTGAAAGCGGCGACGTATTCAATATGCTGGTGATTACAGCATGATGCTGATAACTTGGCGTGTTGCATTAGGGGTTTCCCCTCTGGCGACAGCGGCGTATATGTGCAGAAGTGGTGGTTTCCTTTAATTGGTAGGAACGACGGTAAGCGCAATGATGGTGTTATAATGAGGCGACAGCAGGCATGTACGTATATAGTGGTGGTGAATTTCCTGTGACCAGCCGGCGAGAACGTATTATTATAGTACTTCGGTGTTACTATGGTGGCAACGGCATTGTACATACAATGGCGATGGTGTTCCATATGGTGACGGCGACGTGTATGCGAGTGTTGTTGTTCATATGAAAGTGACGGCGGCATGAATTGGGTAATGATCCGGTGTTTCATAATAGTGACGGCAAACGCATGTACAGCCAGTGGTGTTCCTGCAGCGTGGCAACGGCGATGGTAATGCAATGCTGAGATTGTTCTTAATAGTGACAACGACGATATGTACCGGTACTGAATTGTTGCTTTCTTGGCAACGACGTGCATTGTGCAATACTAGTGTTATTGTACTTATGTAGTGACGTGCGGTATTTGATGGGGGTTTTCCTGCAGCGACAAGCGACGTACATGCGGCGATGATTCGGTTTTCGGCCTTTGAGTAGCAGGAACGACGGTAGGGTACGTCGGTGGTGTTACTGTAGTGACAACGACATTCGTATGTAATTATTCCGGTGTTCCTGTAATTGCGATACGTAACGATGAGCGACAATGTATGGTACTGGTGTTACTATGATAGCGACGACGTGCGTATTGGCGCAGTAATCCGGTGTTATGGTGGCAACTGACATTGTTAATGCCGGTGGTAGATGTTCCTGTGGTGAGCAGCGACGCGTGATTTGATCAATTATTGGTTTAAGCATATTGACAGCGTTGTGCCGCTAATGCTGGTATTTACTTCCGTAAGTGGCAACGTCGGTGGTGCAGAAGTAGTGTTGATTGTTTTCTGGCGGTAACAACGTTTGCTTTGGCGGTGGTGGTGTTCCTGTAAGGCGACTTCTTTGACGATGTGTAATACAGTACTGGTGTTCCTATGAAAATTGACAACGACGTGGCTGATAACGGTATTTACTGTTAATGTAACGGCGACGGTATTTATTTTTAATGCTGTTGTTCCGCCAGCGGTGACAACGACATTAATGCACGATGGGGGTTTTCCTACAGGGACAACGGCGGTATAATACAGTGAAGTGCGGTTTTCACTTTGAAATTAACGGAACGGCTTGCGTTGGTTGCGGTGATTGTACCGTAGTGAGCAACGGGCGTATTGTATAGTGGTGGTGTTCCTGTAATGATGACGCGGCGTCCGTATAGTACTGCGTTGTTGCTGTAGTGGCAACGACGATATTATTACGCGGTAAATTGGTGTTCCTGCATGGTGACGGCGACGTCCAGTATTACGGTGGTGGTGTTCACGCAACAGTGACAACGACGGTGGAGTGATGTAATTGGTGTTTTCTGTAGAGCGACCGGCGTTTGTACACTGGCGAAAGTGGTTGTTCCTGCGGTGACGGCGACTGATATTAGCCGCAGTGCTGAAGATTCCTGTAGTGACAACGACGTGTGTACCAGTACTGAGATTGTTACTGTAGTGGCAACGACATTATTAATACCGAGTAGCGGTGTTTTCTGTAGTGACAAAACGTTTGTACTGTTATTGAATTACCGCTATTGACGGCGATACGGTAAGATTGCAGTAGTGGTGTTCCTGTATGAAGTGACAACTGACATTTGGATCATAGTAATTAATGGTGTTCCTGTAGTGACAACGGCGATGGGTACAGTAAGTGGTGTTCCTGTGAGTGACAACGACGTGGATATAGACCGAGTGGTGTTCCTGTAGTGATAACGACGTGGGTACAGTAGTAAAGTGGTGTTCCTGTAGTGACAACGACGTGGATACAGTAGTGGTGTTCCTGTATTGGTGACGCTTGACGTGGGCGCAGTAGCCCGTTGTTCCTGTAGTGACAACGACGTGTGTGATACAGTACTGGTGTTACTGTGAAAGTGACAACGACATTATTGTACGGTAGTGTGGTGTTACTGTAGTGACAACGACGACGATGTACAGTACTGGTGTTTCCTGTAAAGTGACAACGACGTGGGTACAGTAGTGGTGTTACTGTAGTGACAACGACGTGTATACAGTGGTGGTGTTCCTACATGGTAGCCACCAGTGTCTAAAACATATGAAACCTGGTAGTTTCCTGGCCTGATTCTTAGATCACTTGAGATTTGACATACAAAGGAAGAGATAGGTGGGGAGCGGATTGTAGTTTGTGTTTTATGTCACTTTGTACATAATGTATCTGAGATATTCTGTGAAGGTAGAGCAGATTGTATTTTTTGTGTTTATGTCGCATTTTGTACATAATGTACAAGGAATATTTAGTGAAGATAGAGCAGCTTCGAGTTTATGTTTTTATGTCACATGTGTACATAATGTACCTGAATATTCTATGAAGGTAGAGCGGGTTATCAGTTTATGTTTTATGCCACATTTTGTACATAATGTACCTGAATATTCAAATGAAGGTGGAGCAGATTGTAGTTTGTGTGTTTTATGTCACATTTTGTACATAATGCACCTGAATATTCAGGGGAAGGTATAGATTGTAGTTTACGTTTTATGTCACATTTGTACATAATGTACCTGAATATTCAGTGAAGGTAAGAGCAGATTCCATAGTTTGCGTTTTATGTCACATTTGGTACATAATGTACCTGAATATTCAGTGAAGGTAGAGCAGATTATGGATTTATGTTTTATGTCATGCATTTGTACATAATGTACGTGAATCATTTCAGTGAACGTAGCATGGTAGATTGTAGTTTATGTTTTATGTCACATTTGTACATAATGTACCTGAATATTCAGTGAAGGTAGAAGTAGGTTATAGTTTATGTTTTATGTCACATTTGTACATAATGTACCTGAATATTCAGTGAAGGTAGAGTTGATTGTAGTTTGTGTGTTTATGCCACATTTGTACATTTATGTATTACCCTGAATATTCATGTGAAGGTAGAGTTAGTTTGTAGTTTATGTTTTTATGTCACATTTTGTACATAATGTACCTGAATATTTAGTAAAGGTAGAGCAGATTGTAGTTGGTGTGTGTTTCTGTGTCACATTTGTATATATAATGTTCCTCAACATTCAGTGTGAAGGTAAGAGCAGATTGTAGTTTGTGTTTTTATGCCACATTTGTACATAATGTACCTGAATATTCAGTAAAAGGTAGAGCGGATTGTAGTTTATGTTTTTATGTCACATTTGTACATAATGCCTGAATATTCAGTGAAGGTAGAGTTGATTATAGTTTGTGAAAGTGTGTTTATGTCACATTTGTATATAATGTACACTGAACATTCAGTGAAGGTAGAGCAGATTGTAGTTTGTGTTTTATGTCACATTTGTACATAAGGTACCTGAATATTCAGTGAAAGGTAGAGTAAGATTTTAGTTTATGTTTTTATGTCACATTTGTACATAATGTACCTGAATATTCAGTGAAGGTAAAGAGCAGATTTGTACTTATGTGTTTATGTGCCACATTTGTACATAATGTACCCTGGATATTCAGTGATGGTAGAGTAGGATTGTAGTTTGTGCTTTTTATGTCACATTTGTACTGAATTGCCTGCATATTCAGTGAGAGAATTGAGCAGAGAATGTAGTTTAAGCTTACGCCCCGAGAGTGTACTTAATGCACCTGAATATTCAGAAATGGAAACTTGGACCTCAACTGGAATTGTTATGCGAAGCGGCTGACATAGTGTTAGGCAACTGGTTAAAAGTAATGCATTGTTCTCATTTTGACCTCCTAGTCAGTGTTGTTATGAGAGTCGGTACTGAATTGTAAAACAGTGTCATGAATTGTATTACAGATTAAGAGGGTTAAGAGTAGAAAATGGGGTTTATGAGCTTGTTACTATATTTGTTGCTTTCTCAGTCTTACTGGCACGAATAAACTTACAACTTCTAATAAAAGGCTGAACTTTATCCTGCAGAAAGTGCTTACTCACCGTATTGTCATTGTATAGAGTGGTCTTGCACTCACTGCAATGTCATTGTTTATCGTAGTATGTCACTCACTGTAATGCCATTGTATAAAGTAGCATGTCACCTACTGTAATGTCATTGTATAGAGAAGCATGTAAATCACTGTAATGTCATTGTATAAAGCAGAATGTCACTCGCTCTTAGTAATGTCAATTGTAGCAGAGTAGTATGTCACTTCACTGTAATGTCGTTGTATAAGGCAGAATGTACTCACTCCACTGTAATGTCGTTGTATAAAGGAGGATGTCACTCACTGTAATGTCGTGATTTCTCAGCAGTAATGTGTATTGACGACCTTGTTACCTGCAGAATAAAATTGCAAAACATTGTAAACCGTCTGTTTGTTATTGTTGGTTTCACGTCAAAATTCATTTCATTCACAGCGCAATTAGGTCTCGAACACAACCAGCGTTGTTACAAGTCTTTGTCCCTGCATTTGATGGGTACAATGTGTAAAGCCCATTTCTGGTGTGCTCCGCCGTGATAAAGGCTGGAGTATTGCTAAAAACATGATCACGATCACACTCTCTATTTGAACAGATCAAACCTTCTGGTGCTTTGACAAAATCATGTGATATAACGCGGGCAATATTCTCCTGTTGTTTGTTTTAAGGAAAGGTGGTTTTGTTTCGTAAAAACGTTCACAAATCCACACTACCCAGAGTTTAGTTCACTTACTTGGGTACAAATATATATACTCTCCCAAACAAGAAACGCATATGGAGATTTCAACTGTATTTTCATCTCTTTATCTTTATCGAAATTGCACACTGGGATTGCAGACTTATCCGTCTTTGGCACCAACTCGTGGAAAGTCAGTTTGAGTGTCACATGGAACGACGTGGTTTGCGCTGGAAGTCAATACCTTGTGTGACCACTGTAATGGAGCCTGGCATTGTCCTGTTGAAACAACAACTCCCTCCTGGCGATCAATGATTGAAAGGAGGTGTGGGCGTAGAGATTTCGTCACAGTACCGTTGAGCTGTCAGGTTTCCCTGGATCATCACCAAATCACTTCTCCTACGACAGGTGATCGCTCCCCACATCATAACACTTCGGCCGAATCTGTCCACCTTGGGAACGCAAGCGTCGGCGAAACGTTCACATCGACGTCTGTACACCCGCATTTCTTCCATCGCGTCGTTCCAATAAAATCGTGATTCATCACTGAACCAGATTCTACGCCAATTTGGTAGGTTCAAGGCCTGAACGTTGGTGCACCATTGAACTCGATAATGTCGACGATGTTGTTGTCGATGCACAGGGCCAAAATAAGGTGTTCTGGCACGTAAACCAGCCTCTCTCAACCTGTTCCTGACGGTCTGTGCAGAAAGCCTCCTCAATCCGGGTAGTTGTCAGGCGGTACTGGTCTCCGTAGCTGTTCGATGTACGCAGGTGATGTACGTAGCCGGATGTAGCGATCCAATGCCGCGAAGTGGTCGTTCGAGGTCGCCCAATACGAACGGGTGGCATCTGCTACCGCATTCTACCGGCGATATCTCTCCCAGAGCCGTGAAATGTTGCTTTGGTAAACATTCATGCGTCAGGCAACTGCACGTTGAGACTGGCCAGCTTAAAGCAAACCAATTTGCGATATGACGGTTGGCTTCCACTTAGACGGTGGCATTTTGCCTTCGTCAACAATATTCCAAATACAGTGAATAATCGACAGACTGCGATCAACCTTTTATACCCATCATTGAGACTATCTGGATCCCCAACTTTCACGTGCATTGCATGTGAATTGTATGTTCTGTGACACTACACGCCGAAATTGAAAATCATGCTGTTAAATACGGGTATTTTACGGATGGTGCGTTTTGTGATGTTTCAAAACATAAACACCACAGGACTCATAAACAAAGAGCAAAACCTTTGTAAAATGAATCACGTTTTAATTCATTTGCTACATGAAATTGCTATTTTCATGATGCATTCCTTTTGGGAGAGTATATATTGCAAAAATATTGTAAAACCATAATCCTCCTTCATTCACTTTGTTAGTTGTAGCTCTTTAAAAAGTAATTTTTAACAAGTTGATATAGCGAGGATATCAATTCTGGCTTCTCGTTCTCCCGTACGACCACAAACGTTCTACATTACTGGACGGATTAAAAGGAAACAACCGCCACTGGATGTCTCGTTTAAATAAGGTGAAACGCATTTGCATTTTGTCAGTCAAGAGATGAAATATGTCCTGTACGTTGCTGGTCTATAACTGAACTGTAGGCATTTATTTCTGTTCTGGGATGTGAAGTGATAGTTTCCTGTTGGTTTTCTACTGTGTGTGCACTCGTGTGCTCACTGTGTATGTGCACTGTGTGTGAAGCCAGGGTTGAAGCTGAGTATAGATGTAATTATGTGGCGGATTGTGTGCTCACATTCACGTAAACATTGTCGTGAGATTTTCCACGTTGTGAAACTAAAACTAAATTGAAAAGATTACAACATAGTGATAGGAATAAAAGTGGTACGGGGTTTGAGGAGTGAGTGAGTGAGTGAGTGAGTGAGTGAGTGAGTGGGTTTTGGGTGCGTGCGTACGTGCGTGCGTATGCGTGCGTGTGTATGCGTGATGGAGTGAGTGAGTGAGTGAGTGAGGTGAGTGAGCGAGCGTCAAATTATAGGACAAATTCAATCATCTGCAATATGTTTCATGAATATTTTGCATTACAATGTTTACAGATATATTTTCTGAAAGTATTTTTTATATAGCGAAGTAACATGTGCATATGTATTAATTTGTGAAACAGTTTTGCATGGTAGCATTTCCTTTATGTACACATTTGACTGATTTCCATTTTCCGTAAATATAAATATCCACACTCACCAGTTTGTGTAAAACACGTGGATTACAAAACCTCCTCCGTTACACGTGTGAGACAGCTGTTCTTCATATCAAACATACAGAGAAACATCCGTACGGACACAATGTAGGTAATCGCCCGAAATGGTAGAGGCAGCAATACTGTGTTTATATATATTAAATTTCACCTATCTTCATGCAGGTATCTTTGGTATCGATCTGAGATGTTTCATTTCCAGTTTCCGTGGGAGTAGACAACTCACTACAAATTAATTACTTGTTTAGTGTTATCTTACCATGTTATCATATATATTTCAGATAACAGAACGAATGTCTGTCTCGGGGATGCTGTGCGTTGCATATTTTGTCATTCCAATAACAGGTAAACAACAATTGTTGTGTACATATGGTGTATATACACAGAGATATAACAGGTAAACAATTGTTGTGTACATATGGTGTATATACACAGAGATATAACAGGTAAACAATTGTTGTGTACATGTGGTGTATATACACAGAGACACTCATACTTACGTATATGTGTACACCCATACATAACGATGAGAATAATGAGCATATTTATAAGGTGCCTTTTCTGGGTTAGATATCCTGTTCAAAGAGCACAATCTGAACACTGTTGCCCCGGATAACCCAAGCTGCCTGACAGGCGCTAGAAGGTTAATAGTCGCACGATCTTTTTCACCGGATACCCATTTTCTGCTTGGTGAACAGAGGCAATTTTGAACAAGTTCACTTGCCATATGTGATTCGTTGTGGGGCAGGACTAAAGTCCTAGAAACTCTCAGGAACCATCAAGACACCCATCCAGGGACTCTCCGCCCCCAACGTTGCTTAACTTCAACTGAGCATACTGACATGCACTCATACACGCACACATACAGACACACAGACAGGGCATACAACACGCATACTCAAACATCACATACATACAAACAAAAATATTTTTCCGAATGTATTGATTTGTGTAATGCAGCTTTAACAACTTTCAGCTGCCCCTTGCACGGATCAACAACACTGTTCAGAGTGTCACGACAAGACCGGACATTTGCGTCACTGATTGTGAAGCTGAAAGGTATTATGATTAGAAGTGCAGCTCAGAGCTGCAGCAATGGATGTCAGTAATTTTGGCGACATTATAAGTTTTTACGTCATTCTTTACCTCGATGTCATCACGGAGGAGGTGTTAATGTTGATCAATATTCAATTTAACTTTTATTTTTTAACAAATTGTAAACTATATATGAACTATAATGACAACTACCCAGCAACTCAAGGAAGGAAGTTTTCCGGTTTGATGTATACACATTTGAATATCAAACAGTTTCACGTTAAAGAATTCTGATAGAAAGTTGTTAAAGTGTGAGATTGCACACTGATTTTACATCTACTTGACACTCTTCTTGAAAAGACGAACTCCTCCCTTGATTGTGAAAAGTTTATCGTTGATCTTCAGTAGAGGGATTTGCATCAGCAACATTTACATCATGATTTCAGCTATCCATTCTCCTGGAATGTACCTAGTCGCAAAGACTGCATTCCTAAAACGTCATACACTTTCAATAAGACAAACACAATGTTGTCTTTGTAAACCTAATGCCGGCCATTGTTGTTTTCAGGTGAAAGTCTCTTCATTGGACTGCTAGCGTTGTCAGTGTTCGTAGTATTTTGCATCTTCGTAACACTGTATGTGTCTTTCATCAAGTTTGTTAATGCAAAACGGTAAGTATGTTATTGATAATTTTGTTAAAATACACAGGCTCCAATTGTTCGCATGGTGTCGAAATATGTTTTCTTCAAGCCAACATAACATCCAATAATGTAGAATAACATGCATCTTTCATGTTAATACAAAATACGGGGAAACCTATCCTTGCAACACTCGAAAAAACATATTTATGGTAATCAATGCAATAGAACATACCTCATGTTCTCTCAGCATTTCTGGTGTCCCCCGCCGTGATATTGCTGGAATATTGCTAAAAGCGGCGTAAAGCTAAAGTCAGTCAGTCAGTCTCTCAGCTTTTCCCCGTTTGTTTAGTGGAAGTATACTCATGTAAACCCGTTCTCTACATGAGTTCATCTAAATGCGCAGAATTGAAATAAACGACATAATTTGTGTTCAGGTATCTGTACGTGGTATCGACATTCCCTGGATAGAGAAAAAAAATGACAAATTCGTTGATACTGGGTTTAATATGAAATTATTTAAGATATTTTTGTTGCAGCGACGACAATGAAACAGAGGATGTTCTGCAAAGTGTACCGTACACAGAGAACGAGAGATGTATCTAGTCCATCCCCACACACGGATGGTGAAGGATACACTGACATGTGTTTTACAACAATGGGAAGAGCTGGTGATTTTGTAGCAGCAACTAGATCCTGTAATAGTTCTTGTAAGGTCACGAAGTAACTAAAATAGGTCGTGTAGCAATAACCAGATCCTGTAATAGTTCTTGTAAGGTGACGAAGTAACTAAAATAGGTCGTGTATCAACAACCAGATCCTGTAATAGTTCTTGTAAGGTGACGAAGTAACTAAAATAGGTCGTGTCACTTTGTCTTCCACTGTGTGACTTTCCCAGATTGTGTTACACGGGCCCTGGACAAGACTTTGTGATGTCTGTGTACCGTGACAGTCTCCGTCGTACGTGACCTAGGCAGTTCGACAAGTAAAGCTACAAGTGCGTGTGACTGAATAGTTCAGGTATAAAAATACTTTCATGTAAATTTCAATAACAATGTCCAAATGAAACTGCTGGTAAATGAGCTTGAAAATGTTTCCGTCAAATGTAGAAATCTGTCTGTCTGATCGAAAGTATGACTCACTTCGTTTCATCTGTGTGACTAAGCTATGGTAGATAGGTGTAGTAGGTTTTGAACAAAATCGTCAGCTACGAGTTACCAGTCGTATATTTTTTTTCCTGTTGATGAATTAGACAATAACTGATGAGTAACGGGGAATGTAATAAACTCTCGCCAAGGCTCGAGAATTACGCAATCAATATAACGAGGAAAAGATAATTTGCCATTGCCCTTCACGAGTTGGTTATTGCTTTAAGTATCCATATCAGGTTTTGCTCTAAAAGTCGGTAAAATAAACAGCAGTTTCTCTGTAAGGAATCCCGCGATGTGGGGAATCCCCATATCCCTACGCGTGATGCGTCTTTATTTCCAAGAATTTTATCGTATTACCGCTATATTAACGGTCATTTTACGAGAGACTAAATTGTCCCTAAGATGTATTTTTCCTCAACTAACTTATCTGTATAGTTTGTTAAATAGTAATACACATGTGTGTTGAATTTTGTATCAATAATTAAACAAAAACGTATTTTTATCAATTTTGTGTGTGAGTAATTCATTTCGAGGCAAGAAGCTGTTGTACGTGTGTCAGTTGCTTGGAATGGCGAACTCATCCGGACAGAAACATAGGGCTGGACAACGGATGCAAAACCTGGGGACTTGCATCTTACCGTGTTCAGTCCACACAAACTATATATTCAACGTGTTCAGTGGCTGAACAATATCTACAACTCTTCCCTATATGCTGCCATCAACCTTCACTTTGTCATTCACTTCTATCGGAGATAGTGATGACGCCATGTTTGTTTACATCGACAACACAACAGCAAGCTATTGGATTACCTTTTAGCATTGTATGTTTTCTTTTCTGCAACTGTTATTTCGAAATATTTACATGAAATAGTGATGCATTTATAAATAAACAAAACTGAATGTTTATTGAGTAATTATGTTCTTATTCTCGTGTACAAGAGAGAACGAGTGTAAAACAATGAATGTACTGAAAAGATGAATGAAATAGTTCCGGCATATTATTTAATCCAATTAAATCGTTTATTTCTGAAACAGCCAATCAACGTTCACCAAAAGGTGTAACCTTCCGGGAAACTTACAGCAAAAATACTACCCTGTATCCTTCTTCCCATATGGGCAATAATACGACATATTTCCATTTATTCTTGTGTAAGGAGAACACCGCCTGTCAAAACCCACAACTGTTATAAAACATATATATACATTTGTTGAGAGGTGATCTGTAGAACTTCCAGCATAAACAAATCCACCAAGGTCTGTTTTACAAACAGCGGAATGAATGTTATATATTGAATGCAGTTGGTCTCAGGTCAAGTACATGCCTTGAATCAGGGAAGTACGCAAACAACTTTCTGAAAGCACACATAACGGGTTGCAGAAGCTAAATAGGTTGTCCGCCTCTAATCTGGATGAAACGCATTAGCATATCTAAAGGTCAATTGCAGCAAGGGTAAAGCATCTTCAACATACAGGCCATACGACTCACTCAGGACTCAGGATGTTATTCTCATAAATCATACAAGATGATATCGAGAACATACATATATTTTGATAAATACAAAGTTCCATTTTGGCTTATATGCATATGAATATAACATAAATATATAACTAAAACAGGGATAATACAATTTTCGTTAAACGTGACAGTTTCTGTACCAAAGGATGAAAGTCAGATTTCATAAGGGAAACAAATTTATCAATATGGGGGTTATTACAAAAATAGCTAGGGAGTATACTTTTTCTTACATCATCTAGAGCTCTGCATGATAATATAATATGAAATTCTTCACATATAACAGGCAGGTTACAAATTGTACATATTCTATTTTCTGTGTCTATATTATACCATCTGCCGGTTTCAATCGGTAATCTGTGATTGCATGTTCGCAGTTTTGTTAACCACATACGTTGTTTCAATGGGAGACTGATTAAATAAGGTTCTAAGTTGGGAGTATGCTGAGACAAGGATGAGTTTTGAAGGTCAGCATTCCACGATTGCTTAAACTGATCTATAAGTGTGTATATGACATAGTTTTTCAGCAATGGATGAGGAAGGAAACCTTTGGGAATGCCATGTATAAGATAACCCAACTTTTTGAAGTATACTTTTCACTACATTTAAAAGATCAAATTGAACACCCAAACAAGTTGACACATTAGCCATTACATTATACACTATATGAGGAAACTTATGCATTGATGTAATGACTTTACACCAGTAACTTATTATTCTTGTTTTAATCATTACTTCAATAGGATATCTACCGAGTTCCCCGCAAACCATAACATTCGGAGTACATTGTCTTACCTTAAGTATATACTTACTCAAATTTCAGATGCGTTCTTTGTAAAATAGCTGCATTTTCATACCCCCAAACTTCTGACCCATATAATAAAATTGGTAAAATGCATTGATCAAAAAGTTTCAGCTGACAGTCAATTGAGATTTCAAGTTACCTAATAGCTTTAAAAACAGAAAACATCTCACGTGTTGCTTGTTCTGCAAGTCTCTTAATTGCTTTAGCAAACTTACCATTGCCGTTAAATAGAATGCCCAAGTACAGATATTCTAGGACAACTTCAATTTCCTCATCGAAAAGTTTAAACCTATATTTGTTCTTTACCTAGCCTTTCGAAAATATTACAATTTTGGTTTTATCTAAATTAACTTTAAGTTTCCACAATGTACAATATGTTGAGAAATTATCTAAGCTTAATTGTACTTCTTCAGCACTTTCCGATGACAAAACAGTATCATCTGCATACAATAGTGCTTATAATTTTATATACATGCCAAGCTGTTCCTCAATAAAACAATTTACAGTACCAAGTCCATTTACATTGTGTTCACATAAAAAGGTTTCACGATCATTAAGGTAGAGAGCAAATAAAAATGGAGATAAATTTTCACCCTGTCTAACGCCAATATTACAGTAGAAGAATGGTGAAGTAGAATCACCAGGTTTTACACAGGATTTAATTTGTTGATACATTTAGTAAATTATCTTAAAACATTTGCTGCTTATATTACTTTTAATCATTTTAATCCATAGACCATTTCTCCAAACCGTGTCAAATGCCTAACTAAAATCTATGAAAGCACAATATAACATTTTATTAAGACCTTTATATATATCGATAAGGGATTTCAGTAAAAAAACATGATCTGTTGTAGAAAAAGCTTTACGGAAGCCGGCTTGTGCTTTACTTATAAGTTCAATGGAATCTGAAAAGTTTTTGAAATCTCTCCGATAGTACGGAAGTGAAAACTTTGCCCAAGCAGCTTACAATTGTTATACCTCTGCAACTATAAGGGTTTGATGGACACCCTTTATTCTTATAGACTGGCCTGATGTAACCGAGTAGCCAGGATTCAGGTAGAACTCCATAATCAAACACACAATTAAACAATCTAACATATACAGGCATGAGAGTATCAAGCGTTGCTTTGATATATTCATTGTGTACACCGTCAGTACCACAAGCCTTGTTGTTGTTGAGCGCTTTCACTGCACAGGCTATTTCGCTTTCTGTAGTTGGATGATCTAATATGTCACATTTACTCAATTCACGCATGTCGATGTTTACATCATCGCTTTCATGCCTACTTAATCTACAGCAACGGAGGAAGCACCACACTCGTCTGAAACGTAAGTGCTACAGATAATTGTTCCTTCACTGTTTACCACACGACTCCACACAGCACGTTCACTCTGTGTATTGTCCAGCTTCCTACTGAATGTATAGGCCACTACCACTATATCGTAAATATGTGTCAGTGAATCAGACAATGGTGTAGTACTGTTTCGTCTCTTCACGTGATATTGTTTCCATCTTCCGTGTAAGGGGGGAAATAATACAACCATCAAGACACATGAATTATCTGTGATTATGAAATAAACTGGTCAGCTGATTACACACCCCCCCAGCACCACTTCACACTTACCCCCCCACTTGTCTTTGTCCATGTGACTGTGAAATAACCTCATCCCCCCATCTGTCATCAGTTATAGTCAACAATATGGCTTCTCTCGTGGTCATGTGGATAACAGGCTGGGTAATTGCCACTGAAGGTAAAACATTTTGTTGCTAATTATGGCGATCTGGTGATTGTATTCTTTAATATCGAGAAGTTATGTTGACAAGACGACATTGCTACATCATTGAAGAGAGGGTTTTCTTTCGTGATCAGCAGAGATGTGGAATATCGCGGTGTTCAGGTTCATTTGACGTACATTGAAATTAGGAATATGCAAGCCTGTGTGTGCGTGTTAGTCCTGAATGTATTTAGTAATTCTAGCTGTAACAATAAAACAGTTTAACAGGACTCCACAAAACTCAGCTGATCGTCCTTTGACCCTTTTAGGTGGGTACCAAGTAGGGGACAACAGGTTCCATCTGCTAAAGTCTTTGGGTAAAATGTGGTCAGGCTATTAAAACTCCCACATTCAGAGGTGCGAGCAGCTTCTCTACATCCTACTTCGTGGAGTCGGTGACTTATGTATCACTTTTAAATGTTCATATTTTCTTCACTTGCTGATAAAGGTACCACTATCTGTATAGAAATGTCCAACTGAACTGTCTTACTGTCCTACTCGTGATCAGGCGTGTTGCTTATGTAAAAATAATAAATATGTATATTTTCAGGCACACATTATCAGTATTTTGATAAGACCTGATAGGTGAAAGTGCAAAACTGTTAAGATTTATTTGTTATATTTTACGTATGTCTGGCGTTTGATGCTTTGTGTTGACGACCGAGTTAACATTAATAGCCACATGGACAATACCTAAGGCCATACCGTGACTAGTTTTAAGACAAGGCCAATCAGTATAACTATGTTTCATAATTAATTTTTATCATACCCAATATCAGTCACATCAAACTCAGCATCACTTATCTATGAACACCTACCTGCAACTTCATTTTCAGCTGGTCCATGTTTGGACAACCAGCACTGTTCTGACTGTGACAACACAACGGGACATTGCCTCACTGAGTGTGACACGGGGTACTTTGATCTGAAATGTTTCTCTGTGTGCGATGGTCATTGTAAAGGTAACCTGTGTAATATGTCTGCCGACGGTAGTGGACGGTGCACCGAGGGTTGTGAGCCAGGATATCATGGTCTTGGCTGCTACATACCATGTGACAGTCCAGGAGGTAGCTGTACAACATGTCCAGGTGTTTGTGATGGAGGATATTGTCAGCTGGGGTCATCCTGTGTGCCTGGATGTGTAGACTCCTACTACGGGACTGGCTGTAAGACATGTTCAAGTGGATGTACGCCATGCAACAGGTCGACAGGGACATGTGATGAGAAATCAGGTAGGTAATATTCTATGGCTGTATGTATTGTTAATTAAACTATATCATTTGGTATCATCTACGGTAATGGATGTAACTGGTAGCAGTTAGTCCTTTGACTAGGTGATACTATTACTTTATACTCCTCAAGGAGTTGATAATGGTGTGACTCTCCTCCCTCAATGAGGTATCCGTATACAGTATTTGTGGTAAAGTAGGAATGTATATGGGACATAGCCTGGGCAATGCAAGGCGAGTATCATTTCGTGCAACCAGTTGCCGCTCTTGTATTAACAGGACTAGCTGTAGCCTGTTTCCTTTCTTGTTTTAACAACTTAACCCCGTTGTTTGTTAGGTATCAACATGGCTAAAACACTTTCTACAGGACTAGCTGTAGCCTCTCTCCTGTCTTGTTTTAACAACTTAACCCCGTTGTTTGGTAGGTATCAACATGAAACTGGCTACAGCACTAACTACAGGACTAGCTATAGCCTCTCTCCTTTATTGTATTAACTTGTTAACTCCGTTGTTTGGTAGGTATCAACGTGGAACTGGCTACATCACTATCTACAGGACTAGCTACAGCCTCTCTCTTTTTCATGATGATGGCCACCCTGTCTGCGTGCTGCAGTTACTGTCAACGTTTGAGAACAGAAAGGTGAGTGAGGGAATGAGTGAACCACGATATTCTCTGATTCACTGTACCACGTGGTTGTTTAAAGAGTTCACTGTGTAAACTGGGATCAAGGTGTTCAGTGGGTGAGTGTGTCTCAGTTTGTATTTTAGAGGTGGAATGTACTCCGTGGTATTAGCCTCTGGTTTACAAGGCCCAACATAAGAATACTGACAGACAAACCTGATGTCGCTGGGCTGACTGTGGCAGTACACGGAAGATTCAATGAATCATTATATTCCGGTTTTGTTCGTGTTGAGGTGATTTTACTATTTCCTGATCTCTTGTCATTAACTAACACACATATTGAATGGACCATAGGTTTGATAAAGTAGCGCACAGGTAGACACATTGGAATTACTTGACGGAGTTTGTGCTGATATTCATACAAAATGAACAACAAATATGAAATTCACACGTCTGCTTACATCCGGAGTGATATGTGTGGGTAGGATAAAACATGTCCTCTGACACGCTAAAACAAACCAACGTGCTAGCGCGGCGGTGAAACAGACAAATGAGCGAGTAAGTGAGCTTAGTTTTGCCCCGCATTCAGCAATAGTCCATCTATATGTAAATAATCAAGTCTCGACCAGATATTCCTGTGATCAACAGCATGGTCATCGATCAACGCAATTAGGAGACAATGACATGTGTCATTCAAGTCAGCGAGCCTGACCTCCCGATCCTGTTAGTCGCTTCTTATGTCGCCTCTTACAAGCTTGGGCTACTGAAGATCAATTCTAACCCGGATCTTCACGCTTCATTTAACACACGAACATTAATTGAATGTGCAACATGAAGTGTTGGGCTATAGAAACAAAGGGTTGTTCTGTCCTCACAATTGTATCGCAAATAAGATGTGAACAATCGACAGAAGCTGAAGAAAACGACGCCTTCGGCAGACTGAAGCCAGGCTACACGGCCGTGGCCAAATGTTTCCACGTATCGCCAAACACCATCACAAGACCATGGAACCCTTATCACATGGAGGGGTCAGATGTTTCCACGTATCGCCAAACACCATCACATGACGATGGAACCCTTATCACATGGAGGGGTCAGATGTTTCCACGTATCGCCAAACACCATCACATGACGATGGAACCCTTAACAGATGGAGGGGTCAGATGTTTCCACGTATCGCCAAACACCATCACAAGACCATGGAACCCTTATCACATGGAGAGGTCAACACGTGACCTACCAGATCTAGTCGGCCACGTGTCACAACTAAATCACATTAATTTGTATACGGGTTCGTCACTTTCTTGATGGACTCACGACGGCCACAAGGGGGTCGGTCTGTATGTTGATTGTGCTGATTCTATTCAGTCGCCTCACCGAGCATCGTCCCCCTGTGAGGTACCACACTTAACCACGCACATACGCATAATTATAGTCATATTCTCTGTTTGAAAAAAAAGATTTCACCAAACTACTAGTTAACACAAGATAGGCCATTATCCATTTGTATACGTTTCCCTTATTTCATCCTCGGTGATAAACAATAAACATCTATTCCTGATCACATATGCAGTCTAAACAAGCTCATCGTCAGCACGTTTCAAAGAATTCACAACTTAGAGATAACATGTTCTTTATGCACGAATTAAGAAGTTGTTGTCCGTAATATGCGTCAATATGTCTTCCATGAATTTCTACAAAACGCCTATCAAACATTTGCAGGTTCCAGCTGTACGTCACTCCTACCCAGGACATGGACGTGCCCCCAGAGGCAGGAGATGCTCCCCAGTACGATGTCGTTGATGAAGCAAGGATGTATGATGGATTCACCTGTGAGGGACAACCTGCCTCTGCCAGCTGTTCTGGCTATGAGGAACTGAGGTCGGTACATAAGTAGAATACATCACGTGACCTGGAACGTGCAGACACCGAAACACATCACTGACATGTGAGCGGGGAAGTGGCAATGGAGGAGTTGTCTTGTTTGTTGTTAAACTCATCAGTATTCCTGCAGTATTGCAGCGATTTGTAAATAACGAAACATCGAGACAGGTTGGTAGTTTGCTCATGTCTCTCAATAAACAAGCTCTGTATGATTCAAGGGAGGGTGATGTAGTTGATCATGTTTTCATTCAGTTAAGCCAAGCATCGGGCATTTAGGTCTGTGCCGACTGCTTTCTCCAGGGCAACTGACAGTTTCATTGTTACAGTTGTATTCGTAGCGACCCCATGTGTATGTATTGAATGCGACGTCATTTCAGCTTGAGCTTCATTGAGCGCATTGTCAGCTAGAGACAGCCACCCAAGTCTTTCTTTCAAAACTAGAACAGGGTTATATTAACATTGACCTTATCTTAATGGTAGTAGCATCTCACGAAAACTCGCAACTGTTTCAACGAAGAGAGTCTTTTCTCACCCAGTACTCTATGACCGGTGTTACCTTGTGTTTGTGTTATCTATTTCAAATCAGCTGCATGTCATGAGAATTCAAACAGTGAAGTAAAGGAGCATCGATTTACGCAAATTGGATTCAATGACATGTGTCAGGAAGCATAGCCACCCAATGCCGATCGTCGCCCCTTGCCACAAGCATTGAATGATTGTACTGAGGTAACGTTGTCATGGAAACAGGGTTGGTAGTTTAAACTAACATATATCCCTGATGTCCCTCAATCAAACAGCTCTGTGTGATATCAGGGATGGGGATGTGGCTGAGCATGTTTTCATTCACTTAAACCAGATATCGACCGTTTAGCTCCGTGCCGACTGGTTTCTTCAGGTGACTGTTTCATTGTTGCAATTGTATTCGTAGCGGCCCGCATCCATTTGTATGGTGTTTCATGTGACGTCATTTCTGCCAGAGCGTCAATTAGGGTATAGTCTGCTTGAGACAACAAAACAAGCTTTGCTTTCACAATAATAACTGGATCATATTAACAGTAACCTTCTCTTAATGGTAGAAACACCTCGCCAAAACTGGCGACTGTCTCAACGAAGTGAGTCATTTCTCACCCAGTATTTTGTGAACTGTGCATGGCTTGTGTTAATTATTCGAAATTAACTACATTACCTGAGAATTCAAACAGTGACGTAATGGAGTTTGGTCACAAGGGGTCTGTTTCCAAACCTGTTTCCAATACCATCGGGCGTTAGCATCGTGGTAGATTTGGACTTTGGGTAATTACTTTTCAAAGGCAATGAACTGAATCAAAACAACCCGAGACGCATGTTTTTTATTTACATGTGTCATTTTTCACCGTATCATGTGAAATAATAAAATTTAGTAAATTGTTAAAACATTTTTTCTTTGTTTGCTGAAAACACGATTATAGGATTCTGACTCTATTCTCAGATTAAGTTTTTGAATGTTGGTTTTGATAATGGTGTTGACGAACAGGTTATAAAACAGAGGAATATAAGATTCAGTCCAAAGCAGGGAATTCCTGTATCACATACCGTACTTCAACTCATCAATCATGCTACGAAATTACATACAAATACTGACGACGGACTGATGTCCTGAACACAAACATGTTGGTCGTAAATATAACTTAAATGACCACTTGATCAAAGTATTTCAAATTTGTAAACTCAATGTTATATGCCCTGTGAGAGAAACTCCCACACTTATCAAGGCCCAGGGTGGATGTCCAGGTCCGCTTCCAATCGTTCTTTATATTCTGTTGCATATCCACGTTGGCTTTGAATCCTGTTTGACAATTTGCGCCATGGCCAAGATCAATCGATCTTAGAGTACGTCGTTAGGATGGTCATAGATACAGCACAGATATAGCTAGAGGCACACGGAATTTCTTTATTACCTATTAATCGTTCAGTATGCAAAGTAAATGCTAAATTGAGCTACAGGTAAAAGTAAAATTCCAGAGCAGTTTCAATCATTAGAAACCAACCAGTTTACGGTTAGCTTAAGACGTTACTGGGCCCGATCCACAACGTGTCCGTAGCTCTACGTCATGTGTGAGTATATGACATACTATACAGTTACGACAGCTCGTAACATTACGAACGCTTTATGAATCGGCACCCTGTTTTCTAAAGTCTTCACATATCTGACTTGATCAACAGCTAGCAACAGTATCACCATGTTCTCAAAAGTCTTCAAATATCTGGCTAGATGAACAGTTAGCAGCTCTATCACTAATAACGGCAAACAAACCCCCATAATTGCCGGTTTCCTGACGCACGTTATTCCAGTTATCTGTTTGCCATTGTCCTGTGCAGTACTCTGGAGTAAAGACCCATCTGTCTGTCCAGCCTGTTTCCATCTCATATATCAAAATGTCAACCTGTAACACAGGAAATTTCTCGTAGATAAATCACTGTATCATCACATATCAGTACAATTGCCAGTGTTCAATCATCAGTACTGTGAGACGGTGAGCATCAAGTTATCAGCAATGTGAGACGGTGAGCATCAAGCTTATCAGTAATGTGAGACGGTGAGCATCAAGCTTATCAGCAATGTGAGACGGTGAGCATCAAGCTTATCGGTATTGTGAGACGGTGACCATCAAGCTTATCAGTAATGTGAGACGGTGACCATCAAGCTTATCAGTAATGTGAGACGGTGAGCATCTAGCTTATCAGTAATGTGAGACTGTGAGCATCAAGCTTATTGGTAATGTGAGACGGAGAGCATCAAGATAATCGGTAATGTGAGACGGTGAGCATCAAGCTTATCGGCAATATGAGACGGTGAGCATCAAACTTATCGGTAATGTGAGACGGTGAGCATCAAGCTTATCGGTAATGTGAGACGGTGAGCATCAAGCTTATCAGTAAAGTGAGACGGTGACCATCAAGCTTATCAGTAATGTGAGACCGTGAGCATCAAGCTTATCGGTAATGTGAGACGGTGAGCATCAAGCCTATCGGTAATATGAGACGGTGACCATCAAGCTTATCGGTAATATGAGACGGTGACCATCACGCTTATCGGTAATGTGAGACGGTGGGCATCAAGCTTATCGGTAATGTGAGACGGTGACCATCACGCTTATCGGTAATATGAGACGGTGACCATCACGCTTATCGGTAATGTGAGACGGTGAGCATCAAGCTTATCGGTAATGTGAGACGGTGAACATCAAGCTTATCAGCAATGTGAGACTGTGAGCATCAAGTTATCAGCAATGTGAGACTCTGAGCATCAAGCTTATCAGTAATGTGAGACGGTGAGCATCAAGCTTATCAGTAATGTGAGACGGTGAGCATCAAGCTTATCGGTAATGTGAGACTGTGAGCATCAAACTTGTCAGTAATGTGAGACTGTGAGCACCAAGTTTATCGGTAATGTGAGACTGTGAGCATCAAGCTTATTGGTAATGTGAGACTGTGAGCACCAAGCCTATCGGTAATGTGAGAGTGTGAGCACCAAGCTTATCGGTGATGTGAGACGGTGAGCATCAAACTTATCGGTAATGTGAGACGGTGAGCATCAAGCTTATCGGTAATGTGAGACGGTGAGCATCAAGCTTATCAGTAAAGTGAGACGGTGACCATCAAGCTTATCAGTAATGTGAGACGGTGAGCATCAAGCTTATCAGTAATGTGAGACGGTGACCATCAAGCTTATCGGTAATGTGAGACGGTGAGCATCAAGCTTATCGGCAATATGAGACCGTGAGCATCAAGCTTATCGGTAATGTGAGACGGTGAGCATCAAGCCTATCGGTAATATGAGACGGTGACCATCAAGCTTATCGGTAATATGAGACGGTGACCATCACGCTTATCGGTAATGTGAGACGGTGGGCATCAAGCTTATCGGTAATGTGAGACGGTGACCATCACGCTTATCGGTAATATGAGACGGTGACCATCAAGCTTATCGGTAATGTGAGACGGTGACCATCAAGCTTATCGGTAATGTGAGACGGTGAACATCAAGCTTATCAGCAATGTGAGACTGTGAGCATCAAGCTTATCAGTAATGTGAGACTCTGAGCATCAAGCTTATCAGTAATGTGAGACGGTGAGCATCAAGCTTATCGGTAATGTGAGACGGTGAGCATCAAGCTTATCGGTAATGTGAGACTGTGAGCATCAAACTTGTCAGTAATGTGAGACTGTGAGCACCAAGTTTATCGGTAATGTGAGACTGTGAGCATCAAGCTTATTGGTAATGTGAGACTGTGAGCATCAAGCTTATCGGTAATGTGAGACTGTGAGCACCAAGCTTATCGGTAATGTGAGAGTGTGAGCACCAAGCTTATCGGTGATGTGAGACTGTGAGCATCAAGTTTATCGGTAATGTGAGACGCTGAGAACCAAGCCTATGAGTAATGTATGACGGCTTTGTCGGTGAACATCAAGCCTTTCAGTAATATGTGACGGTGGTGTCTGTGAGGATCAAGCCGATCAGTAAGGTGTGACGGCATTATCTGTGAACATCAAGCCTATCAATAACGTGTGACGGTGGTGTCGATGAACATTAAGCCTATCAGTAATGTTTGACGTTGCTGCTTAATATGGCATTACCTTTATAGTTGATGTATGGAAGCATAAGGCAGACTCGTAGAGATAAATGGAGTGTGACTTATATATTCAACGAACCAGTCATCAGAGTTGCAGGATTCAGCAATGTCAAGGCTAACTTCGTTTACGTCGCAGACGGAAGAGTCAACCAATTGAAAGTCAAAATAACCTAAGTAAACGAATCAACCAAGCTAAAAAGTACACCAGAAACCTTTATAAAAGAGATAAAATCCTACTTTGCAACGTATTCCCGACCATCTTTCAGTCATGTTTGTTCAAAATGTAACGCATGGTTTGCCGTTTGGAATTTCTTTGTTTATTGCTCTGGATAAAGCTCTCAGTTTTTTGTCATTGTTGATCATCAGAGGATAAGCTTTGTACGGGTGACAGATGTACACTGCAATACTGTCATATGACATGCAGATCATTATGATTTGGTAACACTCTTTCAGCCTTTCGAACATATTTTGAAATCAATATTTTCTGCAAGCAAGGACTGGGGCCTGAGCACATGGCACCGATGAGTCCTGCCCAAATACTGCCATGACGTGTAGGTCACGTGTACACAAACCAAACCAAAATATACATCTGCTCTTTCCTGGGACCTTCAGCTCCGGACGTGTTAATCTACCTTGACTGTACTTCTGTGTAGGTCACGTGTACACAGCCAGACCAAAATACACATCTGCTCATTCCTGGGACCTTCAACTCCGGACGTGTTAACCTACCTTGAATGTACTTCTGTGTAGGTGACGTGTACACAGCCAGACCAAAATACACATCTGCTCTTTCCTGGGACCTTCAACTCCGGACGTGTTAACCTACCTTGAATGTACTTCTGTGTAGGTCACGTGTACACAGCCAAACCAAAATACGCATCTGCCCTTTCCTGTGACCTTCAACTCCGGACGTGTTAACCAACCCCGAATCTACTCCAGTGTCCTCTCCGTAGCCTGAAAACGTTCCCATTCTTCACTGTCTTAGCAACTGATCCACACGACCCGACAATGTTAAGCAACGAGTCAGCTTTTGTCCCGGTCTTGAAGGTTATCCTGTAAGTTGCTGTTGTCTCTGTTTTTGAGAGAAGGATAGAGTCATCATTTTCCGTCTGGTCGAAGTCATCAGTCAGAATGAGCAAATATTCTCTTGCCATCAAAAAGAGTATGCGTTTCTCCAGGAGGACACCATCTATTAATGTATTTTAGTGCTAACGCTGCTGGGGTTTCTCTGCTTTTTCAGAGTATTCCTATAACTAAATAATGTTTAATGTGACAAAGTATTTTGTGTATTAACTTTTGTATTCATTTGTGCTTAAGCTGACAAAGAAATGTCCAAAGAATCACAATATGAACCGTTTACGACATTTAAGAAGACACGGTTTCCAGCATGTATGTATGGAAAGAAGGAACATTTGTCCAGATCATTTCACATGAATGCAAGATAATTATCAAAAACAAACCAACTCAAAGCCACACGGATTGTTCGGGACGATTCGATCACAACCTGGCATTGTCGTCACATGATCCAAAGGATCGTGTGGAAGGACTGACACGAAACCATGGCAGGGTTCCCCTTGAAGTTGCTGGAAGGACAGAGCTTACTAATGTACAGTGGGCCATCTGGAAAGACGTCACTCTTGTTCCCTCAATGCATCTCCCGGAGCACATAGGGATACCGGGATACTTACGGTCAACCATGAATCTCTCCATGCACCTTTGACTGTACACTGGACCATCAGCGCTTCTTCCCTTTGTCCCTTCATCCTCGCCATCACCACAATTCCCTGAAAATATTGAGTA